TAAATGTACGTCGCTGTTTTGGTAGATCGAAAATATAAACTCATCTGAATGAATGAAAAAACATGAATAAAATCGAATACACGATCAAAGTTGAAAGGGTATTATGTCAAATGCTACAATCCATTGCCATTGTTTAGTGATACATGTTTAAACTCGAGGTTTAATACCATTTGACCCAATTGTATTGTGAATCTTTATGCCAGGTTATTCGGCCACCGTATCATTTATTTTTCTCTCTAAAAAAAATCATACTAAAAAAGTATCTGCGTCTAGAATAAAGAAAAATATTGGATCGATTAAGGAGAACTCTCTCTCTCTCTCTCTCTCTCTCTCTCTCTCTCTCTCTCTATTTGAAGGAGTTGCACGCAATAAATTACGGAGAATGATTTTCTGTTCAATAGTTTTGAGTTCGAGATGACACCATACCATTTCTTGGTTGTTCAGAAAAAACAATAACACTTGAACTGAAATATAGTGAGCATCCAATTGAAGTGAATTTATGATTGGACCAAACTAATTGTTTCAAAGTGCACAGTTTTCAATCTTTTACTGGAGACAATTTATCCAAAAAATTTGCACATTCAAGTGTAACGTTAATTGATAAGTGTTGTTCTAAAAACGTATTACGAAATTCTCAATTGTCACATATATTAGACAGCATGACAGTTGACTCAGTTCATTCGTTCCATCAAAAATGTGAAATTAAATTTTATGAAAAATGAGCTCGGTATTTCACCTACGAACATGCATTTTATTCGCACTTTAAAAGCTGGAATCACCTGAGTGGCGCGTGCTTAACTCTATCTCTCATTTTTTCTCTGTTCTGGTTTTTTTTTGTTTCGTTGCATTTATTGCTCGTTTTCCAATTGCAATGACATAAAATGCCCGTTATCCATGCATTTCACACGTTCCGATTCCGAAGGTGTGCAAATCTTTGTTGTTGACCGCATATTATGGCGTTCACATTCATTTCAGTTCGTGGCTATTTAATTAATTAACTTTTGATGTTGCTCCATATGGAGTAACAATACAACCACCACCATAACAACTACGACAACAACAAAAACGTGGACCGAATCAGCCCAAAATAAATACATGCTGAACGGAAGTATGTATGGTGCGAAAAAAAACATACACCGGAAAAAAATAGTTTTTCATCGCAAAAAACGGCATGGAATAGGTTGAAAAGAGTAGAATGAGAGAGAGAGAGAGAAAAAAAAATTTGTGTGTGATTGCATATCAAGTGGGCTGCCATTGTACGGCATCGTAAATAAAATGAACACGTTTTCCTTTTTTTCGCTTCTTTTAAACCAACGGAATTCACCGTTTGCCTCTTTTATATAATAATAATAACATCAAATCGGATTGTAATAGTAACTTTTTAACCTAGATTTGTGCACGACTGCATTTTCTCTGCGATATGAATGATTGGCGCGCGCCAATATTACATCGTTCATTTCACATGAAATTGCTTCAGGATGCTTAATTGCTTGTGGATGGAAATAAAATACCGCGAGCAGAAAACGAAAATAAATGACGACAACAACACACATCACTTTGAATAATCGAATAATCGAATGGAGTGTTCAGCACTGTTTAATTTAACATGAATTAATGCCGATGTAAGGGGAACAGAGCAGTTTTTTCGGCAGTTAGGAAAAAAACGGATGGTTCATTCAAATTTTATAATTCAACTGCGATGCAGAGCTCTTAAACTTTCATAATCGCTTTTGAAGCAATGCGGATTCATTCACACCTTGGACCACATTTTTTTTCTCTCTCACACACAATCAGTGTTTGTTAGTACCCGTCGGGTACTACCCGAAATGGGTAATTATTTTCAATTGTAAGACTTAATGCGGGAGTGGAAAGTGAAAGGTAGAGCAAAGCAACGAGAGACATAAAACGGAGAGATATGAGAAATCACCAATAAAAACCAGGTATTCCACTTAATTTTCATCTCTTTCTGTGTGAAACTCGATGTGTCATTTTCAGCGCTTGAAAAGCCATTCTTTTTTTTTTTGTTGTCGTACACATACAATACATATGTTCGCGCTCGGGTTCGTACATGCCAACGCTTTTATCATCTAACAATTTGATGCTGTGCGAGAATCTAATGGAGGAGATGGTATGTGGATAAAAAACCGAAGAGAAATTGCACATCTACACTATTCTCTAGGTGATGTAAAAAGCGTTCCATTCTTTCACGATGCGTCGTATCGGTTTAATTCACTCTTTCCAGAGATTCAAATGTGGGTTGAAAAGTCATTTATAGCATGTTTCGCTGCAAGTTCTACGGTGCACATTGAGATGCCAGCACAGTCACAGTCAGCCAGCCAATGTGTTGTTTAGGTTAAAATAGTTAATGGGAATTTGTGAATGTGATAGTGCGTGTGAAGTATGATACTTCATTTAATTGACAAATTCCAATAAAATTGTGTGGATCGGTGTGTGATGCATTCCATCCTTTTCACTCTTCTTTTCGGGCCAAACAAAAATATGGGTGACACGCTTTATAGAACACACACAAAAAAAGAACTGAGTTGACCTGTTAAGCGACTCACTTTGCCGCTTGATTTAAAAATCAATTTTGAACGTGCACAATGTTCGGTGAATTCTTCAGAAGGGGGGAGGGGGCGTGCTAAATTAATGCTCATTGAAAAGGTTTTTTTTCCGATGTAAACACCATGTTACATTTACATATTATTGAACAAAGGGGATTTTCGTTGTAAATTGAACGAAAAACTCATTGACGTGTGTTTGTGTGAAGAAAATGAGATGAGAACGCACAACTAATTTTTGATTGAAATATTGATGCAGAAAATGTGTTCACGCTCATGTTCAATGACAACATAAATCGACAAGCAGCTTTCAAGCACGGAAATGAGAACCAAAAGAATCTACCGTATTCGCAATTTTGTTGAGCTAAATGGAGAGAGAGAGAGAGAGAGAAAGAGAGAAAGATGCACATACCGAAGAGGTGGAAATGATTCATGTACGGTAGAGGCAGATACACACACAGAGAGAGAGAGAGAGAGAGAGAGAGAGAGAGTTTGTGTGTGTTTCGCGGAATGTGTCAAAATACACCACACCGCACCGTAAACCGAACCACACCGACACTGACATAAAGAGATCGATATTATGACGAAAGGGAGAGAGAAAATGCGAACGAACGAGAAATTATACTCTGAATTGAATTCGCATCGCAAAAATCTGTATAGACAATATCATCTAACCTTTTTATTGTTGTTGTTATTGTGCGTCGTCCTTACAGCAAACTTCTTCTCTCTTTCTCTCTCTCTCTCTCTATATATATATATATCTATTTCTCTTGTTGACACGCAAACTAATATTCCAAAATATTATGTCGTTGTGCTGCTACCAAAGCTCGTTGATGCAACTGTTGTTGTTGGTGTTCTTCTGCTTTTGCTTCTGTTTCTTCTTCTTCTTCTTCTTCTTCTTCTTCTTCTTCGGTGAAATAGGTATATTCCGTGTGTATTTCCGTTTTAAGCGTAGGAATTGAGCGCGTGTTGAGTTCGCGTGAAATGTTTATCGAAAAATGTGGCAAATAAGCGAACCGAGTTAAAGAGAGGTAGACGATGTAGAAAATTGTGTGTTTATATGTATACAGTTACTGTCTATTATTCTGTTGTTTTGTCGTTTGTTTCACAGTTAGTCCGATAAAATAATCCAAACAGCATCAAATTACACCCGTCAATCTGATTGTTGAAAATGAGAGCATTCGGCATACAAGGAAAAGGCGTTCATCTTTATAATGTATGCAATGCTCTATCCTCGTCGATTGACATTTGCATCGTCATTTGTATCTTATTCGATTTCTCTTCGTCTGTTGCTGTTGGTGCTTTGCTATTGCTACCGTTTTTATTT